CTTCTCCGTAAAGCCTTCTATGATACCTGAAGCTCGAAGCAACCTTTCATCCTCTTGTCTCTCTTAACAATTTCGCCTCTCCTATATTAGTAATAACACTAATAGGAACTAATATTCACCAAGAAATTACTGTGCATCCAATACCATGCAATGCTCTTGCCATGAATTGCAGGTACCCTCCTAACAAGCATGTAAAGTATATTTTGTTGTTATCACCTTCTTTATACAGATCGGAAAACTAAAATATCAGAAAAACTAAGTAACTGCTCCATGCCTACATAACTAATGTGTGTGGAGCCAGGATTTGATTTCCAGAGTCCATGCTATTAGCCCATAGATTATAAAGTGACTTCCCTGTGTTCTAGGAGACAAGACCCATATCCTGTTCCCCTCTGTATCCCAAATCCTCCTTTTCTCCTGTCAGTGCAAAGACAGTGACTTATCAAAAATGCAATAAATATTTTTGGAAGTAAAGCCCCAAAGTAAATTGTTCTTCATGTTCACTTCTGGGCCAGGACAGACTGGCATGTTGTTGCTTCCTCACTGAGGGATATAAAAACAGTATGTAGCAGTGTGAGCTATTTGGGTGTAAGATTGAGGATGAAAAAGTTGTCTTTATATATCGTATAACTTCAGAGTTATAAACCAAGTGAAAGCCAAACTGTTCCTCTTTTCCCTCATCCTGTTTGATAGGCCAAATCAGTTTTTACTTTCCCTCTCTACTGTATATACCCAGAATCCTACCATCTTCCTTAATATGGTAACAGTAGAGAAAGATGCCTCAATTCAAGTGAGCCTTTGAAGGCAGAGAGGGGAAAGGTGGCTCCTAAAGACAGAAGGTTGAGTCCTTAGAGGATGCCAGGCCCTGACAATCTCCCAGAGGAGACATGTGCACACAGCCTTGTCCTACACCCACACCAATCGAGTCCATCCGTCTTTTCTGTTTATTGGAGTAAAAAGTAGGATGACCAGAAGCAGGAGAACAAAGAAATAAAGAATGAATGTGCATAAAAATGGACATTGGTGAGAAAAAACATCAGTACCGTGTTGTTTTATGTTTAAGAACACGGTCCACTGTTATTAAGCTGGGTTTAATGGGCTATACCTGTGTGTGCGTGTGTGTGTGTGTGTGTGTGTGTGTAGCAGAAGAAGGGAGGTGAGAGTTGAGATTAAAAGAAAGAGAAAAATGAGGTCAGTAAATTCCCAAGCTCTACAGAAGAGTGCTTTGGCAGCCTTGGCTCCTAAGGAAGCCAGGCCTTGTGATTTATCACAGCCCAGATTCTTGCTGGCTTCAAAGAGAGATGTTCACAAGGAGGAGATGCCAACATTCAGGAGAGATGAGAGTCTGGCCAAATAATTGTCAAGAACCCTTAAAATGTGGGCTACTCAACTTGGGATGATATTAAACTCTGGTGCAGCAATAACTCTAAAAAGGAGAGGGGAAAGAACACCATGATCACAAGCTACAGCTGATTCATATTCTCTCTCTCTCTCTCTCTCTCTTTTTCTCTCTCTTTCCCCTTCCCCTCTCTGCCTTTCTCTTGTTGAAGCTGACACTTTTATTATTATTCTTAGCATGTCTGCAAACCTTGAGAGATGGGAGGGCAGCATAGGCATAATTATTTTGATCTTACAATCACAAATCAGGACAAAATTCAAACCCCATTCAGTCAGAAAGAGTAAAAAGTGCTTGAACTTATAATTTGCTAGCCATCTACTCCTGACTCCACTATCAAATGCCATGTGAGTCCATATAGAAACAGCAAAGGCCATTTCCAGCGTCTGTATCCTCATCACACACCTACTTGTGGATGCATAAAATGCCTGTAAGACTTTGGAGTAGACTCTGGCAATCTGGAGTAATAGAAAATACCCTTCTCACTTTTAAGGAGCTTCTAATCTAATTAGTGAGGCTGGCAGACACAGATTCAGCAAAGCACACTGCAAAGTCTAGGGAATCAGAAGAGGGCCAGATAGGCCCAAAGGCCAAAGTGGCCTTCTTCCCACTTAAAATTTAATTTCATCTTTTATTTTGTTCACTGCTTCCAATGTTCTCACCTTTCTTCTCTGGATGGACATTAAAGAGCTCAGTTTTAATGCATGAAAGTTGGAGGTGATAAATGAAAAATAAAAAGGAATTAAAAAGAGTACACTGGAAATGTAAACCTAAGTCACAGCATGGGCCAGAGATTTGAAAGTTACCTGGGGAAAGGCAATGTCCAGCTTTAGGCATCTTTGAAGAAGGGAGGGGAACAGAGGACTGAGGAGCACCCCTTAGTCAGGATGCTGAGCACAGCTAGTGTGGAGACCAGGACAGCGGTGTCTAGTGGACCGGAGTGTTTCTCGAGGCAAGGAGAGGCTGGGGCTGACTGTTAAATTGCTTTAATGTCTTGTCCCCACTGGTATTTCAAGTCCATGAAGACAGGGACCATGCTTGTCCTTCTCACTGCTATTCTCAGGGCCCATGACAGCCCATGGCACAGAGGAGGTACTCATAAATATTCATTGAATTAAGATAGATTATTGGGATACAGACTTAAGCTGAAAACCTCCAAAGACAGTGGAAAATAATGCCTTCCTCTCAAGGAACTTACTTTCTGATTAGCCATGTGTTTCCTGCCACCTAAAGTCAAGGACAGTGACAGGGCAAAAAGAAGTCAGAGTGGGGTAGCTCACCTCCAGGTTGATAGGGCTTTATCTGAAATGTACTTTTTTTTTTTAAATCCTAACCTGAGGACATTTTTCCATTGTTTTGCTGTTGTTGTTGTGTTTTTTTTTGGGGGGGGGGTTTGTTGGTTTTTTTTTTTTAGAGAGAGGAAGGGAGTGAGAAAAATATCAGTGTGAGAGAGATACTTGGATTGATTACCTTCCACAGGCACCCAGACCAGAGACCGAACCTGCAACCCAGGCATGTGTCCCAAGCAATTGAACCCACAATCTTTTGGTTAAAGGACAACACTCCAGCCAGCTGAGCCACATGGGCCAGGGCTGAAGTGTAAACTTTTAAAGAGGGAGATAATTTTCAGACTCCAAACACAAAATTAGCCTTACTCCTCCAAAGTGCTGAGAAAGTTCTAAGTTTGGGACGGTCACAATGGGGTGAAGCCAGTCAGGGAGGGCTCTGAGTTTTCAATTTTGCCTTACATGAAAAGGGGGAGTGGGATTGTCAAAGTGGAGGTGAGGGTCCTTCCAGAGGGGCAGCGTGGATAACAAGGTGGGGACAGGGTATATGGAGGCCGACTACAAGGAAGTGGGCACAGACATACTGCCACAGAGGGAGTGGAGCCAGTTGGCACAGGGTTAGACTAGAAGCCATGAGGCCTTTCTCCTACCCAGCTCTTTCCTCTGCTGGTGTGCGAACCCAGGCAAGTTACTTAAATTCTCCAAATCTAAGGTTCTTAATCTACAAGCATAGGATAATATTAAATACAAAGAAAATGCAAGTGTCAAATAAGACTGTGTATGCATAAAGCACTTGTCTCGTGCAGCTATATTCTTGATAAATGTTGGCAATGTGTTTGTCATTGGGCTGCAAGATGAATGGCTCCTTTTGAAGGAAAAGGCCACCAATTTATCCTTTATCATCATGGTGTATGGACTTCTATTTACAATATGGAAAAAGGAAAATTCTAATTTGGGCGTGGGTCAGATTAGCATACAAGGAATAAAAAGCAAAATGAGGAGATCTTAGGGTGCCGGGAGATGCCCAGGGAAGGCAAGAGAGGATCAGTTTCCAACTCCATCCAATGTCTGCTGTGTTACTAGAGCCACCAGGAGGTAGATGGGTAGGGGTGGGAGACCCAGTGTCATAGGAAGAGGGAATCTGACAGAGGTGAGAAAGGCGAGATGGCGAAAAGGGTGGCAGAAGGTTAGGCAAGGTGTTTTAGACCCTTTCAGAAAGTGTCCTTGTCTTAGATTGTATGTGTTCTAGGCTGTTCTCTGGTTCATCCAAGGGTTTCAGATTGACCGTCTACTTCAAAGGAAAAAAGCACCAGGAAAACTGTCTCACCTACCTAAAAAGGCAGGAGATAAGATATTATGCAAAAAACCCAGGCTTTAGAGCCAGACAGATCTGGCTTCCTTAAGTTGCCTCAGGAACTTGATCAAGGTACCTGTTTACATGAATTAGAAAAGTTATTTTTTCCTCATTGATGTGGGCATGAAAATTAAATGCAATGACATGTGGAAGGGTCTAACATATAGCAAATGTTTAGCTAGTACTTTCTGGGTCAGGAAGAGAGTATCACATTGTTAAAGGAAAGAAGCAATTGTTTGGTTCAAATCCCAGCTCTGTAACTCATTTGCTGTTTGACTAAAAAAGCAAGATCCTTAACTGTTTGAAGCCTCAGTTATTGCACCTATGTAATGGGTATAAGAAGACCTACCTCACAGGATTCATATGAGCATTAAATGAAATACTATTTATAAAGCCTTTACAATAATACCTGGCTTATATTAAGTGCTCTAAATGTGTTTGATATTATTAAAAGGTAATCAAAAGCTGTATGTGTACTAAGTTTTAACATAAAAGACAACAAATTTTTTGAGAGATCCCACTGAGCTTTTTTTTTTTTTTTTTTGAGGAGAAGAAAGTTAGACATAAAAGGCAGAGTATGTGGCACAGAACTGTAAGATACATGGCCCCACGACAGAAATAAAAGAAGGCAGAGATTCACTGAGGGGGGAATTCATGGACATTTATGGTCACATTATTCTGATTGGCTGAGAGAATCAGCAGGCCTCTAGCCAGTTTTCTTTGTGTTCACGGAAATAAAAGCTCAGTGTGTTTGAAAATGAACTCAGTTTCTTTTTTTTTTTTCTTGATAGGAAGAAATTGTTTATGTAATGAAGGCAGTCTTCTTCATGCTAAGTGAAAATTGGGCCTAAGTAGTAAAATAATAAGTTAAATGGGCACGTCATTAAAATGTGTTTGTTTTGACATGGTTTAATTTGATTTTTCTACATTTCCTAACTACTACCACAAAAGAGATACTTGAGTAATGATACAACTAGCCAAACTGTTAAAAGTAGAGTCAGCGAGTTTTTACCTGTATGAGATCAAACTGGACAGACGGATGGTCTCCCTGAGCTGGCTAGTGCCTCGCCAGCACATGTCTGTTCCAGGTGGCACCTTCGGCATCATGTGGGGACCGGTGAGAAATACAGGATCTCATGCTCTTCCTCAGGCCTACTGAAACAGAATATGAATATGAATAATATCACCCCATGATTTTTCTGCATATTAAGGTTTGGGAAGCACTGAGTTAGAGTATGGAGTTGTAACTACACAATCTTAATTAGGGCAGTCTTTATCTCTATCCAATCCGCATAGGCAAGATTGTTAGAAGGGAGAACAAAATTTCCCACTCGATAGAATTACTCAGTGCAATAAAGAGTTCCCTTAGCTCATGAAATTGCAATCTTAGTAAATAAAACATGACATTAAGAAAAATGATAAAAGTATGATTTTAATTAATAACAGGAAAGCATGTGTTCGATGGAACAACAAAACAATTAGGTTTTGTATTTGTTTAGAGAGTTTACGACTTGATCATCAGGCCACTGATCCAACTGCTTTTTGAAGAGGAAGTGGATTCAGTCCAGGCTTCAGAAATTCACTTCTGCCACCTCATAATCACTTGACTTTGGGCAAGTCGTTACATGTTTCTCATCTGTCAAACGAGAGGGGAACAGGACCCACATCATGAGGTAGATGAGAGGTTTCGATGAGTTAACAGGCAGGCAAAAAACTCACAAATTTCCCCAGCATTATAGAAGCATTAGATATTACTATTAATTATACTTTATCTTTGACTTGACAATTCTCCTTAAATGATTCCTCCCAAGATATTTTCATGGTTTAAGTCAAAATAAATTTGAAGAAAATATAAAAGAATTTTGATAAACTCCTGGATAATTTAGAAATCCCAAGGGGATTTCAAAGCCAGGGGGAGGTTTCATTTCGTTCCTTGGTGTGGAGGCTGCTAGAAAAGTCTCAGTTCCCCCTAGTTTACCATGATTAGAGAGTCAGGCTGACACATTATGCCTGCTGCCTGGAAAGAACAAAAACAAAACAAAACAAAACAAACCTCTTAAGACACAGATTTGTGAAGGACTACGGGGAGGTTTCAGATGGCAAAAATGCCTCTTTCAATCTGGAGTCAAGGGGAGATTTACTACTATCACCTGTTTTTCACGGGGCTCTTCCAGTTCTGTTTATAAGTGCGGTACTTTGCATAGTGGATATTGAATAAACACTTGTCAAACTACAGGAAGAAATGACATCAGGGAGAACCTCTAACCACTGGAAAGTGTTCTGAAATAGAATGAACCGCGTTGGGAGACAGTGGCAGCCAGCGCTGGAAGGATCCAAGCTCAGGTTGGCGCTTGGCTCCTGGGGCTGGTAGAGCAGAGTCTGGTTTAAAATGGGAGGTGTTGAGCTGGTGGTCCCAAAGGTGTCTCCCAGGATTCCGGAGCTGTAGGTCAGAGGCTATGAGGCATTGGTCAGAATGGCTCAGGCCTTACATCCCTGAAGGGCCTTAAATATAAATTCTCGAGACTAACCCCGCATGAGATTTTGCACTGAAATCTTAAGTGTTAAAAACATCAATTTGCTAAATGGAAACAACTTAAGACCCCACAGTTTTTGTCAACCCATTTTGATATTTGTGTTGATTTTTGTTTGGCCTTATTTAATGTACTAGAAGAACTCCAAAAGCCAGATCGGGCCCAAGTTCTCTGAGCCCGGCCTCTCTTGAGCTGTGACAGGTCTTGTTCTAAGTGTATATAAATCTCTAGGGCCTGCTGTCTCTTTACTCCATGCTTCTGTTGGGCCCCTTCATCTTTCCACAGGAAATCCAATCCAATCACGTATATTGTGACTGTCCACAGAGAGAAGACCCCTCAAACAAGCCATAACAAGGAGCATTTCTTTGGGGAAAAATTCCATCACACAGGCCTTTCTCGAAATCATTCCTCCTGATCCTACACTGACATCACCTCCCTGGCTCCTGCCCCGGCCAGTTGCCCCTACCCGCAGCCCCCACCCCGCCACCATAGAGCTGCCCTCCCACTCCAAGTCTCCTGCCCCTTTCTTGTGCAAGGTCATTCTGTTCAGTCCCAGCCACTCCAGACCCACTGTGACACTGAGGAGAATCTTCTAGAGAGAACAATCCTTCCTAGAAAGCAATGTGTATATGAAGGAGGGGTGCTTAGAAACTTAAAACGATTTTAAAGATTGTATATCTATGCCCCCCTCCTCCTGGGGGGCATTTCTCTTTACGGGTTTGAACAATGCAGTTTGCATTTAGTTATTTGTGACCTCACTGGGCCTGTCTGAATTGCCAAGTCATGTATATATAGAGAGAGAGAGATCTTTCTACCTTCAGACCACACATGATCAGAAACAACAATGGATAATCATGGGAATGAAGAGCCTGATCTAATGATCCCTTTTTAGTTAATTTCCAGAAAAAAATCCTAAAATCCTGTTTTCTTTGGGGAGAAGCCAAGACGGTGGAGAGCAGGCAATGTTTATGCTCTCTCACCTGGTGAAGGAAGAAAGCAGCACCGCTAAGTAAAAGGCACTGATGTTGGTAGTTACCAGCAGGGCCTGCCTCAACTGTCTCTTATATTAGGTGTTGGTGGTCCACATGACCTTGAGAGGGCCATTTGCAAAGGGCAAAAGTAAGATAAAATAAAATGACCAAATGCAAAACCAACTCCCAGGCAAATCATTATTGCTGAAAGGGCTAATGTTTACCAGGCGAGAAAATTGAGCCTGAGGGAGGCTGAATATTATGCAAAGCTTCTCCCAGCTAGTGAAGTAACTGAACTAGAATTAAAATCCACATGTCTATCCTTCTCACTGTTGTGCGTTAGTTAACGAAGGTCATCTTCCTCAGAAGACCATCTACTTCTCCCTGCTGTCCAAGTACTCTGCGTTCTAAGTGAGCTTCCAGCTTCCTTTCCCTCCTCTCCAAAGCCCCATTCCACATTCCCCTCCTAGGTCTGCAGGAACACTCTCCTCTTCCCAAAGCATCACCTCCCTTCAGCTGTCACTCAGCCTATTTTAATAGGGAAAGGCTGGTGTCACGGTAGAGGCCACCCCCCCACATCCCAGCCCCCAGTCTCACTCCTCCAACACTACAGGGGTCGTCAGAGACAATGACCACCCTGGAAACTTCTCTTGCTCTTACCCATCATCTCTCTTCTAGTCTCCTGGGGAGGGTCTGAGGCCCAGGCTTGCCAGTCTTTTCTCTGGTGGTCATTGGGGGCAGGGAAGAAGGCTTAAAACAGAGAACAGACTACGTTTCTGAGATTGCAGTGCCCTCACCACTGGTGGTTTGGGAAACAATTTTTCGAATTATGCAGGCAAATATTTTGTTTCAGTGGTTGTGTATTTATTCTTATGGATACTTTCTATCTTGGGTAAGGAATGGTCTTCCATTTATAGTTATAGTGTAATATTTAACCTTACACATAACATTGGTTAGAAAAAAAGTAAGCTGATGTGTGTGTGTGTGTGTGTGTGTGTGTGTGTGTGTAAAATGAAAGTACACGTGGACCGCAGAAAATGGCAAAAGGTGGACTGAGGTTTAAGAAACATTGCCTTAAGCAGAGCTTTAGATCTCATTTGCCTCAGATCAGCACTTCTTGAAAAGCAGTCCCTGTCTTTTCACGGTAGGTTTTAAACACCGGTGGGGTAGGTACACTTCTTATGTGTGGATTCATAGACTCTCTGTGCTTTCAGAGTGCTCAGGGGAGGAGTGCTTAATTGGATTACAGAACCAGGGCCTATGTACACAGAACAATTATATCCCAATGCTCGCTGCTCAGAATGCTCTCTGCATCCTAGCTGCTCTAGGCTAAAAATGCTCTTTAAGCTATTGTCTTCTTCAGGTTCTCGCTCAAGAGGGAGGTTGTTATACCAGTTTTGACAGTGGGAGAAGTTGGGAGATTGAATGACTTGCTCTGCATCTCGGTGGCCAACCGTTGCCGACGTAGTGAGCCAGCCTCCAAGCTCGTGCCATGGGCAGCGCCGTCGGGTCCAGGAACACATTCATATAGAAGATCGTACAGGAGGGGGCTGGAAACGACTTGACTTGTCTTTCCATCTGAACTGTAAACCCAAATTAGCAAACTGTCTTGTGAAGTCACCTCATTTAGGGTGAGCAATGCAAAAGTAGTAGCTAGTGTTTTAGTGTGGTAGCTGCTTTTGCATATACCACATCTTTATCCTTGTTCGAAATAGGTTCTCAGGGAGATGAAAATGTCTTTGTGATCAGGGTCACAGATTCTCTGTCTAAATCGAAGCTCTTTCTCCTATCTTTTCCCATTCCCGAGAACTGAAATATATGTCTGTCGATTGATATAAATTAAATGATACAATTCTCTTCCTCACTTGACTGATGTGGTATCTGGCACCCTCTAGTGATAGAAAATTTTTTTCGTAGAAGTAATATCCCTAGGTATTTTAAGCAATTATCCTTACTTGAAGCTGAAACTATTATAGATAACCTGTCAGAACTAATTTTGGTAACAGAGGATTTCTTATGCTGATCATAAGCTTTGGTGATATGTACATTAGGATTCTATTAGTTGTAAGAATCGGGCTTAAGCAAAAATTGAGAATGTGTTGAACTGGGTAACTGTGGGGACCCCAGGGTTTGACTTCAAGATGAAAGCAGTCAGGGACTCAGGCGACATTCAGGTCCTGCCTCTCCGCACGGTCTCCTCCCGGCGTGGGATGACTCTGGCTTCAGGGCTGGCAGGCTCACAACCTTTCTTCACAACCACACCAGTTCCACACGTCACCATTTCCCACCTCAAATCTGGTGGAGAAGGGATTGTGTCCTCCTGTTTCCAGCAAAAGTCACAATGTTTACTCCAATTGAATGTGCTGTGCTAGTTGCCCTAACTAAATGGAGTTCCCTGCCCCGCTCCTCTGCCCACCTACATACAAACAAAAGCCTTGGGATTGGTGTCAATGCTCCTGTGATGGTCGACTTGGCTAGGCCACGGGACCCAAATATTTGGTAGTACTTTAGACGTTTCTGTGAAGGTATTTTTTGGTTGGGATTAGCAATGAAATCAGTAAGTAAAGTAGTCATCCTTCATAACTTATGTGAGCCTTATCCAGTGAGTTGAATGTCTTACGAAAGAGCTTCCCTGAGAGAAGGGGACTTTGGAGTCCAACTGCACTTTTCCCTCGGTCTCCAGCCAACCTGCGTACCTTGCAGTTCTGGACTTGCCAGGCTCTACAATCACAGAAACCAGTTCTTTAAAATGCTCCTATTTATCTACCTGAGCATAGACAGATATCTCGATAGACGTCGCAGTATATCTATTCCATTGATTTTGGCTTTCTGAAACTGACTAATACAGTTACTCATACTAAAGAATTAATAAGAGGGAAAAGAGGCAGTTTTTCCAAAGGCAACTTGGAAGTGCTGTTACCAGGAAGAAGGGGGAAAGATGTAGGAAAAACAGTCATACATGCTCACTATAGTTGGGAATTAATAAAGTCAAATTAGTGTTATAGCAATTTGGTTAACAAAACTTTTTTAAATATTAGGTCCATGACGAAAGGGAATAAAAATAAACCCAGTGGTGAAAAGGTGTTGAAGGTCCACCGCCCCCAGTTTTTTATGTGTTTAAATGTTATTCAAAATGAGATGTTCAGTGGCAAGGGTATCTTTACAGTAGAAGCAAGTTTTGACTTGTATGGCATGGCGTGGGTCCAAAATATCTCCCACATCTGGTAGAGGGCCTGAAAATCTATTACTAAAATTGTTTTTGTTTTTTGGGGTTTTTTTTTGCTTGCAAAGGATCAGGAGGCCTTAGGAATATGTTATTAAAATAAAAAGTACCTTTAAAGATGTCCAAACTGTTTTCCCCAGAAGACCAGCTTTCATAAAAAGATCATTCAATAGGTCCTCTTCAAAGGACTCCATAAGGAAGACAAAGAAGTTTGGGAAAAAGTATATATCATAGCCCCCCTTAGATATTCACACTGCATATTAGCATAGTAAGAGCCCTGAGAATTTTTGGATTAAGAGACCTGTTTGAATAAACCCCAAATCACTTGACCATGAAATATTTTTCCCCACAAAGCACCTATTACTCTCATTGAACTTAACGGCAATCAGGTGTCGGAGTGAGGGGTGTTTGGAAAGGGCAGGGCCCAGGAACAAGAATATCTTAAATTTAATTCCTGGCTCTGCTATTTACTAACCAACTTGGCCAACGTTGCTTAAACATTTTTTGGCTACAATTCTTTTTTTACTTGTAAAGTAAGTGTAATAATCACTCACCTCCCTGCGCTAAAATGAAAAATATTAAGTAAGAAAGAACCATTTATGAAAGTTGTTGACTCAT